GCTAATGAAACTTCAAATTGCATTTAAATAATATGTACAATGAACACAGCAGTTTTCTGCTGTGAAAGAAAGCAGGAAAGAAGAAAAGATACAAGCACCTGTGGAGTGAGTCATCATGCAACAAAGTGAAAAATTTGTCTTCTGAAAAGAAATGCATCTATAAAAAAAAGATGTATTAGGGTAGGGTTTTTTTTATTATTATTTTTAAAAAGGAACAGTTGTATGTATACATAAAGATGGTCTCCTGACCAAGAAGAAAATAAAATTGCATGARTTATTTGTGCAATAGTGTTGCTGTAGTAGTTACCAGGGCCTCAACATAAACTACCATATGCACATATAACAAAATGACATTTTTCTCTTGAAGATCTTGCAACAACAGCTGGATTCAGAAGGAAAGAAAAGAACACATGGATGGGACAGCATGATATACTAAGATGAATATAAACAGTAGGAGAAATTGTGACATGAAAAAAGTATCTGTAAATGGTCAAATAGACAAAATTATATAAGTATATATAGAGAGAGATGTACAATGACCATAAAAATGCTCAACTCATGCCAATGCATTAGAAGTCTTCTTAGCCACATCTATTGGGGCAGTCAGCCAAACAGGCAATTTTAAGAAGATATTAAAACTATTACCTTGTCAACTATTTCTGACATTATTCACATTTTCCAGATTAAATATATATTTCCATACAGACCTTAAGAAGAAATGTAGGTATGGGAGCTCTGCAGTTCACTTCAGTAATACCAGGACTGCATGCTAAAAATATTAAAACAAACAAACAAGAAAACAAAACCCACAGAAATGGCTTTGAAATCTTTAGAAAAATAATTTGTTTTGTTTTTCAGCATTTTGTCTCCCTAAATAGTTGGGAATTTAATTTTCTTCATATACTTCACCATATTTGCCCAGATACCACCTTTACACAGATGGACTTGATCAGAAATTATGGCTAGAAGCAAGCAGGGATACTACGCATTCTTACACTCAATGCAGCTAAATGCCACGTGTTGTACCACTGCTACTCCATAAATGAAACCTAGGACCAGGAAGTCTTACAACTCTGTGCAAAATGCAGCATACTTAAAGATGTCGCACTATGACATATTGGAGGAACACAAATTTAAGAATTATGTCATGTTAAAGCCAACAGAATTAAATAAACTTTTTTTTTTTCCCCCTGTAAGAAGCACATGAAAAAAAATCACAGGAAAGACAGGGATTTTTTTCTCTAAATATTCATACACAAGAAGACCTATTACTTATGCAAGAAGACCTATTACTAAATAGCAAAAAAAACACCCTGTTAACTTTTCAAATAAGAGCAGTAGTTAGTCTGAGATGCAAAGCTGATAAAGAAAATTAATTTGAGGATTTATACAGGTAGTGCTGCTGCTTAAATCAACAAGATGTGTAAGATATTATTCGTAACCATCACAATAAGCTTAGTCTTCTTCTAACTGCTCTAGGCTGTGTATCCCTTTATTCTACATAACTAAGTGTTGGGACTTAGAGTGTTTGAGTGATAGTGATTGAGCAATAGCGATAAAGTGATTGCTTGATGGCTGAATTTGATTTTACATGAATATGTGTGTATTATCATGTGTGTATTGTTCATGTGTAAATAATGAGGTAATATGGAAACCATAAAATGTGCAATGAATTCTTCCTTTCCGAGAAGACTCCAAAAAGAAAAAAAAAACCATACTATAGCTGACCGTGCAATGTATTTTTTTCCTACAAGAATTATTTTGCTTTAATTTTGTCCATATTTCTAGGTAGGATTAAGTAAATCTGGATTATCCTGCTAAGCTTTCTCCTTTATTAGATGCTCTGCACCAGAAGAAGGAGAATTTTCATACATGATACATGAGGAGCATATAACTGAATAAAACTCTTAACTCACTCAAGTGAAATCACAAACAAACTTTAGAATGATTTTCCCAAAAAAAAAACTTAAAAAAGAGCTGGCAGTTATTACACAAAGTCCTCAGACTTTACTGTTCTGTTCAGTTTTAAAAAGATGAAAGATGCTCAGTGACTACCAGAATGGGCAACAGCGTAAAACCCTGAAACAGATTATGGTGACAGTCTGTGAGTTAACAGAATTAATGGGAGAAGTAAATCTTTCTCCTGTCTCCTCCCTGAAATACAAACATAAAAATCAGGGTGGGGAAAAGACAAATGACTGTCTACTAAAATCACTAGACAATCTTTCATCGAGCACTGTAGTCAATTATTAAGAAATCACAAATACATCACTTGGAGAGAGGAAAAAAAAAAAAACCCAACACACACACAACACCGTCCTAGAACATAATTATGATGAGCATGATGACTGTTTTTTGTCCGTAATCCAATCAYCTGGAAATGCATTTGCCTGTCTGTTAAGCAGCTGGTACCAGACCCTGCAGCCCTTGGTGGGTTGAATAATCCTCATTCAGACAARCAGCCTCATTGAAAGCACCGAGTCAAAGACTGTTTGAATGAACAGCTCAAAGGAGCAGACCCTCTTGGTTCTTTATTACAGATTTGCAGAGAAACATGAGGTGCACAGCTTTACTAATAGGCCAGGCAAAAAGTTCATTACATCTGAGACAAGGTGCACGTAAATGCATGCATTTAGTCACCTTGGGAGGGAACACTAAAAGGCCACCAGCCTCTGTGCTTTGCAACTGCCTAAATGAGGATCCACAATCTTAGGGGGCAGACTGGATATTTAATAACTAAYGGGATATGAAGTTAACAGTTTGTACATAACAGTTTGCAGCCAGGGTAGCTGCACATGTACATGTTACTGCCCTCCCAGGTTGACCTCTAGGTTTAAAAAAAATCGGTATTTTTTTCAGCGTGCACCCACGTTGTTTTTCGGTTGCAATTTGGCGACTAAGGCCGGTTAATATTACGGGCAGGTCCCGGCAGAGCGAGCAGGGCCGGAGGGAGGACAAGCAGGGGCCGCTTCGAGGACGGGGCCTTGGCCGCAGGGAGCTGCTCCCCAGGCGCGAGGGCCGCCACAGGCGCCGCCCGCCCCCTCCTCGCGGCTGACCGTTGGTAACGGTCGCCACGCGCACCCTGGGCGGGAAACCGCCCTCTGTCGCGCGGGGCGGAGGGCGAGGAGCCGCCGCAAACGTCGCCCCAGAGGGTATTTCCACAAGGACACGGCTGAGGGGAGGGCAGACCTTATTTATGACCTATTTTCACTTTTACTGGGATGGCGAGAGCAGTTTGGGGGGCAGMGGGGAGGTCCCGGGGCCTCTCCCCCCGCCCTGCGGAAGGGGGCCGCGGAGCCGTAACAGGRGTCCCGGCGGCCCCGCCGCCATCTCCCATCTCCGGGGGGGGATTTCCCCCAAACGCCCGTGTGCGACCAGYGAGCGACGCGCGCCCTCGGCGGCGAAACCTCCTCGGGAAACCTGAGGGCAGAGCGCGCCGCCGCGCCTCTCCTCCGCGGGATTTTAACGGGAGAGAAGAGAGCGCCCGTCCTGCTCTCCGCACGACTTCTCACACGTTTTAAACCTGAACGCGTMGGATGTGAGCCGTGACCTACATTGGCGCTCCCTAGAGAGGAGGAGGAGAAGGAGGAGGAGGAAGGACAGCCGGCTCGGTTGCCGCCGCCGAGGCGCTACCTGCTCCGCCTGCTCGCGGTTTCCCTGCGGCTCGGCGCCGCGAGCGCTGCTGGCTTCGCTCTCGCACGCTGGTCCTGCGTGTGGAAGAAGAAAAAAAAAACTGCAAGCAGTTGTGAACGAGCCCAGCAGGAATAAAAAAAAAAAAAAAAAAAAAAAGAGAGAGAGAAAAAAAGAAAGTTTGGGGAAAGTTTTTGGACTCGAGAACAGCCCACTCCGTGCGGTGTCAGCTTCGGACACCCGCGTAGCTCCATCGCAGGGAACAAGGACGAGGTAGGTGGGTGAGGAGGAGAGGGCCGGCGCTGCGCCAGTCGCGTCGCTCCCGCCACCCGGAGCGGCGCACGCGCCCGGCGGATCCCGCCCCGCTCGCAGGTGCGCAGGGCGCTGCCYACGCCCTCGGGAGCCCGCTGCGCACAGCGCCCCGCCGCGGAGCCGCCGGCGCCCTCGGCCTCCTGCCGCGCCGCGGGCCCCGCAGGTGCGGCCGGGCCGGGCCTGGCTAGGCCGGGCCGGGGGGTGAGGACGGAGTCGCGGGGCGGGGGCGCGCGCTCACCTGGGCGCGCTCACCTGGGCGCACCTGTGCGCGCGCGAGCGGCTCCCGGCCCCGCCGCCCCGCCCCTCCCGCCCCGCCGCCGCCGCGCGCAGGCGCACGCGCTGCGGGCCCGGCGGCGCTCCGGGGGCTCGGCGCTGTCATGGCGGCAGCGGGCGGCAGGAAGCGATGGGGCTGAGCGGGCCGGCGGCGTGAGGCGGCAGCGCGCGGGACGCGGCGCTCTCGGCGGCGGCGGTGGTGGCGGAGGGGACGTCGCTCCTCGGGCCGCCCTCGTGGGTGAGAGCGGGGCAGAGCCGCCGTCGCCGCTGTGCCCCGGCCGCGGAGCCGCGCGTCGCGGCGGCCGGTGCCCTGGGCGGGCGGGGGCCGCACCTGCGGGGGCGGCGGCGGCAGGAGGCGGCCCCGGCGCGAAGCGGAGCCGGGCGGTGGAGAGCGTGTCCGCCCCGGGAGCGGCTAACAAGCGGTTATCCCGGCGCGTGCGGCGGGGGCTCCGCGCTGACCCCTCCGGGGCGAGCGGGGACCTTGGGGCGGCGCGCGGCTCCCGGCGGCTTCCAAAATATCTCGCGTTGTTCCGCAGGGCGCTGAGTACCTGCCGTGGGGCACGGAGCTGCTGCTGCTGCGGACGACTCCTGCTGAGGAGCGAGCCGGGACGCGGAGGGCGCGACCGACCGAGCGACCGACCGGCCGCCCTGCGCCGCGCCTTTCTCTTAGCGCCCGGCGCGGCCGGGAGGAGAGGCCGCGGGACCCCCTGCCCCGAGGCGGAGCTGCCCCCGGAGCCGCGGCGGCGCCTCCGGCCGGCCCGGTGGTGACCTGAGGCGCGCTGGCCATGGCGAGCGAAGGCAAACAAGTTGTTCAGCTAACAGGTGATGGAGAAGGAGGAGGAGGAGGAGGAGGAGCGGGAAAAGAAGGAAATGCTGCTGGAGGGGGGAGCGTGCTGCAGCCGCTGAATCCAGGAATCCCCATCCGAGGCATCCGGATGAAATTTGCTGTGCTGACAGGACTGGTGGAAGTCGGTGAAGTATCCAACAGAGACATAGTGGAGACTGTGTTCAATCTGGTAAGTGGATCGCCTTTTTGCACATGAGATAAGAATAGCGTATGCATGTAGAAAAATCCCATGCTCTTTCACTCTCTTTTCCCATCTTAGAGTATTTTTCTGCATGTTYGCACTTTCACAATCCTGCATTTCAGCTAACTGCTTTTTACTTAAAAACAGAAAAAGCTGAAGAAAAAGTACATGAGCTTCCTTATATGCATTTAAACTTGGAACAACTCTAAGAGTGTCAGCTGTAACTTGCATTAGGTTAGCTAGAACTGGAAAAAAATCATGTGTAAACATTGTATTTATATAGTTAACAGTAAAAAGGCTTTTTTAGTAACTCAAACTGTGACCAAGTTCCTTGGGAATCTTTGTTGGGAATTAAAAAAAAAAAAGTTTGTTTTGAAAGGCCTTTTCTATTAATAACCTAAGTAGTCAGCTTTTTTTTTTCCCTTGAATATAGTAAGAAGACCTTAATACTTGATAACAAATATTGCTAAAATGTGAGGACACAACTTCTCCTGTGTAGGCAACAAACAGCATGCTGTTGAACATTTTGGGTAGGACTAGTTATTAGTATTTGTATGCAAGAATAGATAAAGCACCAAGGGGAAAGACTTTTGTTTATTAAATGTTTTGTTGTTAYTAGATGTCTAAAAGTGTTGGAAGTCTAAGAATTCACATCACTCCTGTTTGCTTTTAGTGAGTACCTTTGACTTTAAAACAGAGTGGGATTTCTGACTAACCAGGAAGTGAGAGCAGGTGCAGCAAGCATGAAGCTTGTAACAAGAAAGTTAGTGCAGAAACCATACTGATTTTTAAATACTATTTACATTTCTGTTATTTTGTTAGTAATTTTTTTTAGGCCATATGCATAAGTATTTAGTGACAATTACAATTTATATATGTTGTGTTTATTTAAAGCTTTTTGTTGTTATCTTAATTTCTTATGGTGAGTTTCATTTTTTTTCTCCTTTTTTTTTTTTTTCTATCAGAATATCCATACTAACAGAATTTAAACCTGTATTTTTTTTTAGGCTGAAAGCCTCATTACAGAAAAAAAATGCAATACTTGCAGAAATGAAGAGCAGAGGTTCCATGCATATTTTAAGTAGGAGAAAGTGATTTAACTTCTGCAGAGTGCACTTGACAATTGTTCTTGACTAAACCCAGTCAACATGTGGAGAGAAAGTTCAAAAGGGAATTCTGGTAAATAGTCTAGGATTTTAATGTTACCTTAGGACGATTAAGGGAGAAGATCTTCATGAATGTATTAAATTTCACTTTATTCCTGGCATGCTCTTTTAGATAGTGTATATTTTATGGCAGTGGTAGAAGAAGAATCAACGGAATAAGTGTAAAAGGTGCTTAATCCTGTGATTCCTTTTCTGGCTCTGTGTGAAGAAAATAAGGAACCAGAACAATGCAACTTGATTCTGGGAATCCTCAGTTTTGTCAGAGCAGTACTAGTTGGTTGCTACCTATAGTAAAACAAGTAATAACTTGGTAGTAGGGATGCTTTACCCTTACTGTGTGAGAGCACAATTAAAGTTTCTCTTCAAAATCAGAAAAAGTAGGTGTCCTGCTATTCCACGTCCCAGAAGAACAAATCAATACTGTTGACTGCTTTACTGGGAGCAGATCTTTGGAATCTTATTATTATTTTAATTGAAATTAGCCAGTGTCATTATTGAAGACATCTATTGTCCAGAAACTTTTACTGAAAATTGTTGAGCTGACTTTTTAATGTTAGCTCTCTCTAATCTGTGTGTGAAACAGAGACTGAAGATGTGCAGCATTAACATCTCCCTCCGAAACAGTACTTGTTCACCTGGGTTTGATCGATATTTAGGTGTGACCTCTTGATTTTTTCAGATAATACCTTTGAAATCACACGGATCAGAATTTGGACCATGTGAAGTAATGGTTAGCAACGTCAGATATATTTTTCTGTTTATGGATTAATTTTTTCTATGAAAAAAGTGATCCTCAGCTATGTCTTTTACAGCACTGTGTTTCCCAGTAGCTTTTAGAGCAAATTTAGACTTGTGCATGTAGCTGCATACAGCTGAAGGCATGAAGATCATACTGTGTTCTGTTGTTATTTGAGGCTTAACCCTACTACTGTSCCCTGCTACTGAGTTTTTTTCTGTTTGGTGACTCATAAGTGCACTAGCTCAGTAGTGTTAACGGAAATCAGTCAGCTTTCTTCTTGTACTTTGGAAGAAGGAGACATACAGTATATAGTCTATTTTTTTAGGAGGGGAAGGTTATTATAGTGAGCTATCTTTGGGCTGGGCAAGATGTGTGTAGAAAGACTTAATTGCATGCTCTATTGTCATAGGAAAACTACATAAGATAAAAAGTTTCCTTTGAGGAAAGGATTTGGCTGACCTAAATCTTACTTTTTGAGCAAGCATGGTGGTCTTATGCTTTTCAAACTTGCTGTAGCATGTGCAGATTATGGTGCATTTCTTGACATCAGAAACAAAAGTGCAATTTTGATATTTCTCTTCCTTAGATCTTTGAGGTGAGCAAGTATACGTGCAATATACACACAATATACGTGTCTGTGTGTATGTATACATCTTATTATGCCAGTACTGTTTTGTTTCCAAGACKCTGTAAATCTCTAGTTTATATATAAAACTTAGGTCATTGATACTCTTGTCTATTCAGCACTTCAGGTAAAGCGCTCTTGCAGGCCGGAGTTTTGTTCATACTGAGTACTATGTGCCAGGGTTACTGTGTTGCGCTAGGGTTGCAGGGAGAATCAGATACTTTTGGCAAAAAACTGTTGCATTTCAAGGAGGTGGCTGTACAGGTATGACCTTCCTTTGTTGCTGCTGATTCTGTTYGTGGATTATGAGGTCTTCGCCAAGATTCTGTTAGTGCCAGAGTACGTGTGAGGAGTATCTTTGTTTTTGTCACCTTATGAGGAAAAATAGCTTGAGCTGACGAGGAAAAAATAATGTTACTTTTAAAACTTTGTCACCTCCCTCTGCTTTCTGCCAGACAGCAAATTAAATCCATGAAGAAGAATTACTTTTAATTTTCTTTTTTTTTTTGTCTCTTTAAAGATACCTTCTATTTCATTTATTCTTATAGAACAAAYGTGAGATGACTGACTCAATTTCCACTTATTTGCCTGATGCTGATGGGCTTTCTGCTGTTCTTTTATTTTTTCTATTTCAGTTTCTCCCTATCATCTCAGTGTTTTTCATTATTCATATTGAAAGCTAATGACATCACCTGCTGATACACCTGCTTCTAATTTGTTATGAATGCTTCTGAGATAGTAATACAAGAGGTTTTATGAAGTAAAATTTCTCCTTTTTTTTCCTGTGATCACTGAGACTTCTTGTTGCTTTTACCATGTGGATAGACACCAAAGATAATGCTGACAGAATTAGAATTTATTATAGTTGTTGAAAAATGCATCATAAATGTTCTTATAACATTTCATTGTTTTTCCTTWGTATATATTTCTATAGAATGCTAGGATTTATTTTTTATCAAACCTTACCGATGCTGATGAGAGCTGAAAGCAATCAGGTAGCTTCCATTGCTATCGCACATTAGTTCATGTATGTACTCTTTCTGTGGTTATCAGTGAGTACACCTCTGGCTACAAGTTATCCTAGTTCAGTCACTTCTGTCTACTTGTCCTATAGGTGATAAGAAAACTCTATGGCTTTAGCCTGGGCCAAGCTTGTAATTTTTTTTTTAAGAGATAGTAATGCAGCAAAAAAACTGTGCTTCCAGATCTATCTCAAATCCTTTTGATAAAATAGTTAAGATACAAACTTCCTTGCTCCTGTTTCTTCATGTTAGAAAAGTTGTTCCAGTTTAATAAATGAATGTAGACTCCTTGATTCTAAGTTATCTTTATGCTTTGAAAGGCCAGTAAGTAACCAAGTAACCATAAAATGTGTGGGGTTTTTTTTTTGTTGTTGTTGTTTATGAAGTCTTGCCAAGAAAATGAGACCAAGAGATGTCTTTAACCAAATGTTAACTAGCTCAAAATTGTTGAGTGATAGAAGTCACTATCCTTCAATAGATACACCTACTATTGAAGTGACTTTTTTTTTTTTTTTTTTTTTTTTTTTAACCCCCTTCTGGATATTGCTGAGACTTAGATCCCTTTGTAATTAATGGAAATATCACCTTGCTTGACAAGTATAGGAATTCAAGGAACTTTGTCTAGTTATGGTGCACTGATAAATATATAGCATGCAGTATGTGAGATAATATTGATTTAGATGTGACAGACTTGAATCTGACATGCTGATGATTGACATGCCAAAACTAYGTCATTTAGAAGAAAATAGTCTAGACTCAGAAGAACTGTTTTGCACTCTGATTGTGGTATTGACTTACTTAGGGAAATTTGCCTCTGGCCAATTTTTATAGCTTCTTATGACCAGTCTGAATGAAGTATCTGTGAATAACTTGTGAACTGTGTAGGCGTTGTATTTTCCAGAAGTTTTGTCATCCTGTGCTGTAACCATCAGAAGGCTCTGCAGAAACTTAAAATCTTAAAAATTAAGGTGGTAGCAAGTATTTACATATCATGTGACATGCATTAACAATATGATGTTTGATAAAAGAGTGTTTTAATTAGCAGTCCATCCTAAAAGCCTATCAGTGTTGCAATTTAAAATGGACTCATATTATATTTTCCATTTCAAAATTTCCATTAGAGGGAAAKCACACATTTAATGAAAGCTTTTCATGTTGATGTTTTTTAACAAAGAAGAAAGATTTATTATGCATGTTTTGCATCTCTAAATACTCTAAATAATATTTTTGTATCACATCTGTCAGAGATACTGGCTTAGATGGGCCATTGACCTGACCCACTAGGACAAAGAACCCGGTAAAACAGTGACCATATGGACTGTCTCAGGAAAAACATTTGTGGATTAGAGAATAGAATGAAATTAGGCACAAGCATCAGGGAAATAGGTGGATGGCTTTTCAAGGTTGTTACAAAGGCTGAACAATGCAGACCAAGA